ACAGTTGTAAGCACTGTGTAACTGCCTCGAGGGTGCTTGACCATTTTAACACAACGTGGTGCGATCATCCCCCTTGCGCGGAGCGGGTTCTCCACCCCGCACAACATGATCTACTCGACCACCATTATGGTTACCGCCAAAAAAAAACGGAGGTAAAAAAAAAGAAAACGGTAACCTGGTTGCCGAGTTCACGAAGAGAATTGGCTTGTTTTACAACGTCGTTGCCAAGCGACGAAAACCCACTCCCGATGGCAAACACCGGGGGGGGCGGCTTGTTTTACAACGTCGTTGCCAAGCGACGAAAACCCAACCCCGATGGCAAACACCGGGGGGGGCGGAGGTGGGGGGGTCATAAACTTTGTAGCGTTCTCATGGCAAGGCCAGCGGAAACAATGACTACCTGGTGAGTCGGTCGGCTTGTCTTGTCTCATGTCCATAAGACAGCCGTGGATAGAGACTCATCAATGGACTCGCGACAAAAAATGCCCGGCACAACTTCGATCAGCTTGCTTTCCAAACGTTAGTCCGTCCGTGATGGGTTGTGTGCCTGCCGATAAGTATCTTTCCCTATTTTTTTTGTTGGTGGTCTGCCATCGCCACCGCACCGAAACAACCACAAACACAACCAACAATAGCAAAATCAGCATCATTATCGGTAACAGCAGCATCTAAGAACACCACCACTAACATGAACCACACACACCGACAACAACCCCATCACCCAGGTATAGCGAGGGCCTGCCGGGAAAGCGCTATTACGGAGGGAATGAGCAGGTGGACAGGATGGAGACGCTTTGCCAGGATAGGGCCATTTCTCTCTTCGGCCTGGACCCGGCAGAATGGGCGGTAAGGATAGGCAGCTCTCTCCGCAGCAGTGTCGAGTTTGTTTCACCGTGGCCATTATTATACCAAGGTGGTCGTACGTCGGTTTCCATCTCCCATGACGAAGCGACCCTCGGTCTGCCCCGCTCTCTTGCCCCGCCTCAGGTGAACGTCCAGCCGTACTCGGGGAGCCCCGCCAACTTTGCGGTGTATACGGCCCTCCTCGAGCCGCATGACCGCATCATGGGGCTGGACCTCCCCTCGGGGGGTCACCTCACGCACGGGTACTACAGCGACAGGAGGAAGGTGATGCCCATGGCGGTGGTGATGGTAATATTTAACGGCTTCGGCGTGGTGATTTTTGTCTGTCTGTGTGTCGTTGTTGTCGTCGTCGTCGTCGTTTTTATCTTCCTCGTTGGTGTCTTCCCCAATGAGTTTTAGGACAGCTTCCTCGCGGGGTACATTTTTTATACACGCTTAGAGTCGTAGCGGCTACGACCATGTCTCTTCCCCCCCTGCTGTTCGTGTTTGTGGGCGCGCCCCTGTCGCCAGGTCAGCGCTACGAGCATATATTTCGAGAGCCTGCCCTACCAGGTGGATCAAGAGACCGGTCTCATCGACTACGACGTCAGTGGGTTGGTCGTTCGTGCTTCCCTTTGATGTTTTTCGGATTCCGTTTCGTTCTTCTGATATACGGCCTTGTTCATGACGTAAAGCCATGCTGTCCGACCACAGAGATCTGCGGGCGATGCTGTTCTTTTCGTTCGGCTCTGTGTGTTTTTTCACCGTTTCAGTGACACAGAACACAGTACCACGAGTTAGGGAGCAACAAAAGATGCTGCTGCTGTACGACCGGTCATAGCGATCGATCGGCTGGTCGTTATGATATACCATCCAGAGTGAAGTCTTCCTTCACGGGGTCTTTGACAACGGTGACGTGATGATAATTTTCGGCGCATTTTCTGCGAACCCGGACTCAACCCCCTCATGTGTGACGCCGCCGATGTCAATCAAGGGTTTGGAGCGCCAGGCGAGGCTTTTTCGCCCGAAGCTGATCATCGCGGGGGCTAGCGCGTACTCGAGAGAGTGGGATTACGCGAGAATGCGGAAGGTGTGTTGCTGCTCTTTCTGCTGCTGATGCTGATGCTGATGCTGTTGTATCTGCACATCTCAGCACTGCCCGTCACGGGACATCGTCGCCCGAGATTCGTTCAATTGCATGTTCTTTTTTCACGCGTAGTGTTCACTGCTTGAAGGGTTGACACTTTACCACGCCCCCCTCCCCCCTCCTGCTCCCCATGTATGCAACACAAAGATCGCTGACGAAGTCGGTGCCTACCTGATGACGGACATGGCACACATATCAGGACTAGTCGCCGCCGGGGAGGCGAACGACCCTTTCCCCCACAGCCACGTGGTCACTTCCACCACCCACAAGAGCCTCCGGGGGCCCAGATCCGGCCTTATATTTTCGAGGCACGTGTTTTGCATGCTCATATGTATGAAATGCGGCGCTTTTGGCGTCGGCCCGCAGAGAGAGCAGGTTTTACTGATTTTGTTCTTGTCATGTTCGTTGACTCTGGTTTTTGCTTCATCTCTTATCCCCCGCCCGCCCATTCCTTGGTGGGCACGTGGGCACACCTTTGCCAGAATTAGGCAAGGCGTTCCGTCTCGTTTGAGATGTTTTGATACTAAAGACTCAGTATTTCGCACTACTCGTGGTGCGACGCCAGGAACCATAGCGACCCCTCCCCACGCGCGTGCGCCCATTCCCCTGGTGCACTTACGATTTCTCGGCGGCGTTGTTTGTCCGACTTGGCGTTACGTATGTGCGTGTGTGTTCAGGCGCAGCGAGGGCATCAACGACCTCGTGGATTTCGCGGTGTTCCCGGCGTTGCAGGGCGGTCCTCACAACCACCAGATTGCTGCCCTCGCCGCAGCCCTCAAGGAAGCGGCCAGCCCGGATTTCAAGAGGTTTGTGTTTTCGCGGATGCTTCTTTCGGTTTCGACGACCGTGGTAGCAACGTCACTTAGGGTTGGCATCGGACGTGCTATTCGCCGACCAATGAAAATGTTCCAATCTTGTTGTGAGAAAAGAAACGCTTTTGCAGTCTGCGGGCTCACTTGGCGTGGGGGTGGAGAGTAGAGCAATCTTCACTGCGAGTATCTCACGTCCGATTTTTTTTTTTGAGGCGTCCAACTCGTACGTAGATCGTGCGTAAGTGTTTCGACGGGGCAATACAAACCTCGCGCTTGTGATTGCCCAACGGCGGGGGCTGGCTGTTTGTATGGCTTTGCAGGAGTGCACGTCAAGACAACAAACGTTCCTTCCATGGCTCTTGGTGACGACCTCCATGTAGTGTGATCCGCTTTGTTTTGTGCGAATCAGCCATTTTTTCTCGTCAAGTCGCAACGACAGGCGCAATTTACTAGGAAGAGAGCCCGGCCCATACGCTCGATACTCCCGGCCTTGAGGGCTCAAAGTATGGACATGGCAGAATCCTCATGGTATTGGAGCACAAACCAACGAGCTGTCCACTCTGTTATTTCTGTTTTGGCTACAGAATCATTAGGCTATGAATTTGTACCTCACTTGACGGGCAATTGCCACAATACCGGCAAGAAGGTCTCCGAACACCTATCTTGGGGCGTTTTCAGATGTAACCGAGTGACTTTCATGCGGGGCTTCTGGGTCCTATCCCCTGGACCGTAATCAAGGCTTCACGCGAAAGGTTTATTTGAAGGCATTGCATGGACCATTGGCTACCCTGCCGAGTTCGGGTTCGCATGGAACCACCCTCCCTCCCTCCTTCCCTCCCTCCCTCCCTCTCTACGTTCCTGCGAGTGACTGACTGAGTGGTTCGTTGTAGGGTAGGCAACAGAAAGGGATTGGCTACCAGTTTATTATTCGTCTCGTTCATCCCCCCTCCCCCCCTACCACATCTTTGGTCGAATCCCTCCTCGACAGTTACATCAAGAAGGTGAAGACCAACGCGAAAGCTTTAGCAGCGGGACTACGAGCTAGGGGACACGAGGTCGCCACGGATGGCACGGACAACCACCTGCTGCTGTGGGATCTCCGCCCCAGGGGGTTGACCGGATCGAAGATGGAGAAGCTCCTCGAGGCCTGCAGTATCTCGGCCAACAAGGTGTGTCATTATCGTTTGCTTGTCGCGGACGTTGATAATTATGCTGGAGTCTCTCCAAGCGTGTACCGGTACATGTTCGAGCCGGTTTGTATCTGTGCACGCTACGGGAGTGACGCGAACTTAACAGCGGAGATGGTGTGAGTGTGGCTGTTCCAGACGGTATGTTGCGGTGAGTGAGCCCCCGGAGAACCAAACAAGCAGCGCAATACGGACTACATTCGTTTCTGCCACGTCTATCAAGCGGCGATAACAGCAGACGGCCTCACACCAAAACAAACTACCCCAGACACTACCTGCAACAGTAGGGGTCCATCTAATAGTACAACTTCGATTTACATGGGATCCCACGACATGTACGTGGACTCGTCCCCATCTGGACGAAAAGCCCGGGTCACCTGGCCCGTAGCGTGCCATGATGCCATAATAGGTTCATCCTTCTGAACGGTACCCCAGGTCAGTAGTAAAGGCGACTGCACAATGTCGAATGTCCCTTCCCCGCTCTTTCACGTAAAACCTTCTCCCGTCCGTGGTCCCTGCTAACCCGCCCCGAACACCTGCACGTACTGTTTCTAGAACACGTTATACGGGGACAAGAGCGCAGCCGCCCCGGGCGGGGTACGGCTAGGAACTCCCGCCATGACCACCAGAGGCCTGGACGAAACTGACTTCGGAGAGACTGTAGCGGGGTTTCTGGACAGAGCGGCGTGTTTAGCTTGCGCCGCGCAGGAGAGAGCCGGGTCGAAGAAACTCGCGGCGTTTGTCACGGAGATGGACGCCGACGAAGGGGTAAGGGAGTTGAAGGGAGAGGTGGAGGCTTTCGCCGAGAGGTTTTACTATCCAGGAGGGGCCGAGGGGGCCCGTCGGTGACGAACGTCGTGCATGGCGTCATTGCTTCCTTTTTCAACCGTTGTGTGCAGAGAATTCAGACGCCGGGCTGGTTAGCTTGTTGGGGCAGCTCTTCTGTGTCTGCCATGCACGACAACAGCCGGGAAGCACGCAACACGTGGTCGATCGAGCCAGTTGACATTGGGCTGAGGGATCGAGCATGTATGGGCGGGCATGGCCGTGAATTGAGTACCACGAGCGCCACGCTAGTAAATCTTGTGTGCCATGTTGGGGTGTTTTCCCGTCACTACCCACACAGTAAACGTGTTCTGTTCGCTTATCCTTTCCTTCGGAATTGAAAATAGAATCGCGGTCCACTACCCATGCCTCTGTGGGAGGAAACGGGGAGCAAGTGACTCGTGCGGTGTTATTAAGTTGGCCCGCTTTTTCTTCAATTGTTGTGTCCTCAAGACCGTTATGAGGACGAATGCTGATAGCTGCAGGGAATAGGCAATGGAGAAGGGAAAACAACTCCCATGCTGCCAAAGCCGAGATTTCAAACACAACGATGCTTCGTGTTTACGATACATCCAGTTTTTTTGTACCAGTATGTCCAACTAGGCGATGGAAGGTGAGGTTGGGAGCTTTACGTCATCTCTCTACGATAGAATTCTTCCGGCTCATCGGGAAACAAATTTCTCCGTTCCAAAGTTGATGTTGAAATACGTCCAAAAAGTAAGGAGTCACGCCATCGAACAACCGTCAACGCCGAATCAGCTCTGGTTGATACTGGTTTGGAGAACCTGAAGTGACACTGAGAAGAATTTCGACATTGAAATCAAGCAAACAGCAACTGAAAACAGAATTCTATAAAACATTCGGTACACTAATCCGACGATCCAAAATGCGACGAGTGTCAGGGCAGCATCAGCGCTTCAAACAACTCGAGTACATAGTCCAAACCGTGGCGGCGCGCGCCATGTCTAAGAAAATCCGTTTGCCACCGGACGTTCCCCCCTATGTCGCGCGCTTGTTGTCACATATAGCACAACGCCAGCCAACAGCACGGGCACGGCCACCGTCTGAGTCATTACCGCCAAGGCGGACCTATGCAGCTCTGCTAAGGCCTTCGTGGTAATCGCGGTGTCCCAGTCATAGACGACCAGCTTTTCATCCCGGATTGCAAGCGCCTGTCGAAACAATTCCTCGGCCTTCTCCTTCCTGCCTGCGTCGCCCACGTTGACTGCTAGCCAATGCAGGGTGTCTGCCACATGCGGGTGGTCCTCGCCGAGTTTTTCCTCACGAGCTCTCGTCGATGAAGCTCCTCGGCCTTCGCGGTTCTGCCTACTTTCCAGGCGCACACCCCGAGGTTATGCAGCGTGAGTGCCACATCCGGGTGATCGACGCCTAGCTTTTCCTCCTGGATCGCAAGCGCTCGTCGATGACACTCCTCTGCGTCCTTCATCCTCGCTACCTTGTGGGCGCATACCCCGAGGTGGTTCTGGGTGTAAGCCACTTCCGGGTGATCGACACCCAGCTTTTCCTCCTGGATCGAAAGCGCTCGTCGATGAAATTCCTCGGCTTCCTTCATGTCCCCTACCTTGGAAGCGCAAACCCCGAGGTTATTCAGGGTAGATGCCACGTCCGGGTGACCGACGCCTGGCTTTTCCTAACGAATCGCAAGCGCTCGTTGATGCAACTCCTCGGCTTCCTCCATCCTCCCTAGGTTTGAAGCGCCCACCCCGAGTGCGTTTAAGGTAGATGCCACGTCCGGGTGGTCGACGCCCAGCTGTTCCTCCCGGATCTCGAGCGCTCATCGAAGCAACTCCTCGCCTTCGTCCATCTTCCCTACCTTAGAAGCGCATACGCCGAGGTCATTCACGGTTCGTGCCACGTCCGGGTGATAGACGCCCAGCGGTTCCTCCCGGATCTCGAGCGCTCGTCGATACAACTCTTCCGCTTCCTTCATTCTCCCTAGCTTGCAAACGCAGTTTCCAAGGATATTCAGGGTAGATGGCACGTCCGGGTGATCGACGCCCAGCTTCTCCGCACGGATCGCGAGCGCTCGTCCGAAAAACTCCTCGGCTTCTGCCATCCTCCCTACCGCGAAAGCACAAAGCCCGAGGTCATCCAGGGTGCGTGCCACCTCAGGATGATCGACGCCCACCTGCTCCTCACGGATCGCGAGCGCTCGTCGATAGAAGTCCTCGGCGTCCTTCATCCTCCCTACCTCGTGAGCACAAACCCCACCGACACATCATGGGGGGAATTGTGCACGGACAAGTTGTTTGATGCCAGCCCATGCAGAAAGAGCTGCCAATTTGTCCTCATCGTGGAAGGTGGCACCTCTTGCAGGCCTCTCCAGCGGGCGGGATAGGAACGCTGTATCTCCAACGTGGAACTCGTACACCGTGGTTGCCGCCGCAAACGATGCTCCGTCTTCAGCACCGGCCGGAAGACCCAACGTCACCGAAAACTCCGAAGTCGCTGTCCTCTCCCGCTCCTTCTCGTTCGTCGGAGAAGCCGCCACCTCCCGCTCCATCTCGTGCGGCAAGGCGGCACGATGGGAACCAAGGGGCACTTGGGGATTGCATGGGGGAGGGGACGATAACACGGCGACTGGGGTGGGGGCCTGCTCACGGATCCTGGTGGCAGGGCTCCAGCTCCTTCAGCCGCGATCGGAGCGCCCCCTGCTTCGCCCTAGCCGCTTGGAGATATGCCTCACGCTCCGCCAGAACAGCCGCACGCTCCTCCTCCTGCTTCCTCGCCACAGCAGCCAGAGCAGCCTCCCGTTCCTCCTCCTGCTTCCTTGCCGCAGCAGCCAGAGCAGCCTCCCGTTCCGCCAAGCGCTCCGCGTACTCGTGCTTTGCCTGCTCTCGCGCCTGTGCCTCTGCACAATTCCCCCCACCGCACACCGTTGCTTTCGGGCACATCTACCACACCCCGTACCTCGCGAAACTTCCGCCTTCTTCGCGGCAGTCCGTGTTCCAGCTTTTGTTCGCTCTCCGTCGTGCCACCTTTCATGAAGGTCCTCAAGGAACGTCGGTGGTGACCCANCAACGACTTCAAGCACGATCTACAAGCCCCCCGGCAGGCCTCTTCACGCCCTGCGCATGGCTCTGGAGAGGACAAGGACTTCAGTAGGTCGGCGGCTCCGGTGTCCACGAGCTGGAACAACCGTTGGGGCGACCGGGATTCGACGGCCAAGAGCGGGACGTACGACCCCCACCGCTCCACCCAGTCTTCGCGAAGGCGCGGCGTCGGAGATAACAGGCGAGGGCGAGCCGTGGGGAACCAGCCTACCAGGTCTTCGCCGGCGAGCCGCCATCGCCGGAGCAGGATTCGGAGCGCAGAACGTCAACAGCGCACCAATCCTTCGTCTAGGCGTGAGCGCAGCCGGAGCGGAGACCGTCGTGGGAGAAACACGCCTCCGTCTAGGCGTAGCCGCAGCCGGAGCCAGAACCAGAGCGGGGGCAATAGCAGGGCGACCAGCA